TTGAGTGGTGCTTAAGCAAGTCGATGGGTTGGTCTAGGGGTCAGGCTTAAAAATGATGGCCCAGGCCCTAGGCTAAGGACTTGAGCTGGGCTAGGGCCTGAGCCTAAACGAGTCGGGCCCACATCGGGGGACGGGCGGACTTTGGACCGCCCACGGGTTGCGGGCTATTTTTACACTCCTAATGATAACTATCAAAATAGAGGTAGCAACAAAAAGGAAATTGTGTATATCCTTTTTTCTATGTAATATATATCAACAAAAGACATAAGGGTATAACAGTCCAACAAACAATATAAATCAGGAAAAAAGGACCTTATGGAATAAAAATATAAATACATAGGGCTAATTAGGTTATAATTTTTCTTGGTGGAGTTATTTGATTAGAACACCTCCAAATGAGATTTATTAATAAAAAATCTTTTTTATTTTTAAACATAAAAAAAATGAAAATGAAATTTTATGCAATATTTTTATATCAATAATAAAACTACCCAAAAAGTATGTGACTATTGCCTGAAGTGCCAGTCGCCTTGTAGCCGCGAAGTTATTCCGCGAGTCTAAAATTGTACTTAATGAGAATAGGAAAATGTTATAGTCTCAAATTTTTTATTAAATGAATGATCAAATGTCTCATATGTAGGGTTCATAAAAGTGTGGACTCCATACTTATGTGAGATATTTGGTCATTTATTTGGTAAAAAATTTGGTATCCTTAGCATTAACCATGAGAATAATACATAGAGAAAATAGTGACAAAATATAATTTAAGGTATTATTTGCACTACTACAAAATGATAAATAGATCACACTTTGACAAATGAAAATATCTCACTTTTATTGGAAGTGTGATAAAAAAAATTAGATTGATATTTTAATCACACTTGATTTGATTAAGTGTGCTAATATTTTTTTTATGTCACTTTTCAATTAAGTGTGATTATATATATATATATTTTTAATCATACCTTCTAATTAACATGTGATTAAAGATCACATAAGAAGAATTAAAAATATCTCACTTTTATTAGAAGTGTGATTAAAAAAATTAAAATGATTTTTTAATCACACTTAATTTAATGAGTGAGATAATATTTTTTTTTAATCACACATTTTAAATAAGTGTGATTATAGATATTTATTTTCATCACAGTTCCAGGTGTGATTGTATATAATTTTTCAATTTAATTTTTATGTAAAATTATTAATCCCATATTCGCGCCTCTTCTACACGATTGAGATGGCCACGACTCTTTGAAACACCCACCAAGATATTATAACTTTATACATCATGCATTAACATGTCATGAAAATTTCTACAAAAAAAAAAATTCAATCCGATTTTTTTATAACATGCAAAAGTATGCTGTAAAAAATACATATTTTCACGGTATACAAAAATATGTCATAAAATATTTACATTTAAGACGACATACATTTCATGTCGTCAAATATTATAACTTTACACAGCATGTATTAGCATGTTGTCAAAACTTTTGTTAAAAAAAAATTCAATTCAAATTTTGTTTTTAATTTTAAAAAGCTAACAATTTCCAACCAAACTTCTCACCATAAATTTTCCTAATTAAAGACAACATAAAAAATAATTTATACATTATTTTATAATTTAGTGTATTCTTGTAAGGTATAATTGCACATATTTATAAAAAAAAATTTATAATTTTAAGAGCATTCGCTTTAAAAATTCAATTTTAAATTTTGTTTGGCAAAAAATCCAAGCGCTCAAATATTTTGTCCAAAAGAATAAGTGCAAACAAAATGACCACCCTAACCTTATATATATTATACAGAGTCTAAACCCTAACCTAACACTCCCTCTCACCCTCTCTCACTCTCTTCTCTCTTTATCTCTTCTACCTCCTACATCGTCGCCTCTAGTGGCACCACTAGCGACCACCACTGTTGTCGCCACCACCTCCTCCCTCGCTGCCCTCTTTTTCTTCTCCTATTCTCTTCACTAATCTTCACCGGTTGTTTGCTTTGTCTTCTCCACTCTCGTTGTCGGTTCCAAAACCCTAACCTTACCTTCGATCTTCTCCAACCCCTCCACAAGCCATATGTTTGAATCCAGACCCTACACTCCCCTCAACTGTTTCAGAACCTTTGTCTACAAAGGACTATCATCGGACTCGTCAGAACAACGATCTCGAACGGGCTGATTGCGATGAGAAAGATCAGGCGACGAAATACATTAATGCATCAGAAACGAAATCGGAAGATGGACAATTCATCTTTGCCCTAGTTTTTCTCTCCATTTTTGTTCAATCGACCCCTCGATCTTCTCTGATCAGAACTCTGCACTAGATTTGTCGGTTCAGTCCAACTCCAGGTTCAGCCTTGAGGTACACTCCACTCTCCTCTCATTGTCTGCCTCTGTTTTTCACTCTCTTTCTTTTCTTCACTTTCCTTTCAATGAATTCAAAATTCAGATTTCTTTTTTTGTTTATGTTTTCCATTTTTTTTCCCTCGGAAACCAAAAGATTGGATCAATATACACCTCTCTTATCTCAAATCTTTCCTTCTTATCGATTTCAAATTCTACTGAAGATTTTTTGTTTTTTAATGTTCATCAGTTAACTATTTGACCAAGAATGGCAATGTTGACTTAGAACAGTTGATGATTGTTTCTACCTAGTTTATTAATTTTGTTGTTTTGTTTGTGTTAATTGCCTTGAGGGAGCAGCAACTAAGCTTTGTTTCTGATACATGTTTAAAAAGTTAACAGACTATTTCAAAATAAATGGGTACTGTTTTATTTCATCTTGTTACCATAATTGTCTTCAAATTTGGTCATCTATTGAGACATTGAACTATAGGCGAGATGGGAGTAGGTAGAGGCACAACTCCCAAAATTTTGAAACCTCCTTCTATTTACTTATGCAATTTACATGCTCATGTAACTTGTGGCTTTGATATTGAAATTGTTGTAATATGGGCTTTGATATTAAAATAGATAGAAAGTAAGTATTGGGTATGTGGAGAAGTATTTTGTGAATAACATCACGTAGCTAAGGTGATGTCGAAGTCTCAGCTGAGGTTCCACGTAGCTTGGTTATGCACTGAGGTGATCTTAGATAGGTCGAGGTCATCTACGGAGATATCGAAATCCAAGATATGCAAATAAGGGACAAGAGTCCTAGAATAAGGAAGGATCTCAGTCTAGATAGAGATAAGGCTCAAGAAGACTTTATCTCTATCTAGATAAGGGTCCAGGATAAGCATAGAGCCTGAGTCCATTGAAGTAAGGCTTCTAAGGGGATCGGGTCATGGTTGGTTATAAAAGTAAGGCATCCTCGTGGATCTAAGGTAAGTTTTTTCTTGTGAGTGTAAGTACAATTTGCTATCTTTGAGAGATATTGATTACTGAATTGATCGTCGGAGTGCCCTCGGATGGATGAACCACTGCCGGATTCTCATTTTCTTGTTACAGGTTATTGGGCTTAATCTATGTTGTTGGTGCTCTCCAGCTGAGTTTCTCGTTTGGTTGTGTGGTTAGAAATCAACACCTACAATTTGGCGCCGTCTATGGAAACTTAAGGAGGATAGATGGCCAACAACAGGCAGGGAGAAAAGATCGGGGACGATGTTCTAGACAGGAGTGGTAAACATACTGATCCTAACGTCGAGAAAGAAAACCATAATGAAAGAGCAGGGAATCAGAATCCCGGGGACAAGGACGTCGGCAAAGAGGGAGACGTCCCGAAGAAAGCAAGCCGAGATGAATATTACAACGAAAGTGACCTCTAAGTATGGAAGGACAGATGCTTGAGGAGGGACAATGAGATGAAGGAGATGGCAAACAAGTTGGCAGACCTATAATCAATTGTCAACTTCATGATGCAGAACAACGTAATGCAACCACCGTACCTAATTGTAGGACACACCGATACCAGCGGCCAAGACCGACACCCAGAAAAGAGGGCAAAAGTTAATCCCAGTAGTTCCTCAGCATGACAAAGAGAATGAGCGTTCACATGGGTCTTCACGGCATGTCAGGCGAGCAGAGTCAATGAGAGGTGAGTCTTAGAGAACGCCTCATACCAAGGGAACTTATGTCAAAGAACATTGGCACGTCCAAGGGAAGAGACTTTGCTTTGATATAGTGAATGAAGAAAAATCCAAGAGGATACACCATGACGCCGGAAGTAGCGCGCCAAAAAGGCTGAAATCTATTAATAGCTGAGTTCCAGGACGAATGAAGGAGGATTTGAGGCACTACCTCTAAAGGAAGCGACAAAATGTCGAGGTCACATCCCCCGTCAAGCTGAGAACGCCGTTCTCAATGAAGTTGGATAGGTTTGAGGCCCTAAAAAGGTTTCATATGCCGAGGTTCCAGATTTATGACAGTAAGTCCAATCCGAACTTTCGTGTCAGCTTATATCTGAACTCAATCACTTTGTATACCGGGAACGAGTAGTTGTTGCGCAAGGCGTTCCCCTCATCCTTTGGGGAAATTGCATCGGATTGGTTCCACAAGTTGTCGAAAGGAATTGTGAAGAGTTAGGAAGGCCTAGCCGAGATGTTTGTGGTCAGGTTTGTTACGAACAAATTGTAGCCATTAAGGGTAGACTCCTTGATGGCTCTAAAAATTGGCGAGGGTGAAATAATCAGGGCATACGCCAAAAGGTATTATGAGGTGTTCAACTGAATACCGGGATGTAACTAGGAGCTAGCGGTCGTGTCTTTTAAGAACAGCCTAAAGGATGAATGCCCTCTCCAGAAGTCACTAGTGAAAACTCTACCAAAAAGTATGGAGGAGCTTATGGCTCGGATTGAAAAATACGCCAGAGCAGAAGAGGATACACCGAGAATAAAGGCGCCAAAACAAGAGAAGAGAAACGGCTCGCCGAAGTGAGGCCAAGGTAACACTGGTTTTAACAGATAGGAGATAGGGTTGAGGGCTGCGCAGGCAGTCACCACTGTGTTCCAAATCCCAGTTTACAAAGTTCTAGAAAGAATCAGAAACCAACCGTATTATACAGCGCCGGAGAAGGTCCCTGGCGAGTTTATGGAAATGAGCCTTGGGAAGCACTGTGCCTACCATAATGAAGATGGGCACTTGACTCAGGGGTGCAAGGCTTTGAAGACGCACTTTGAGGATCTAGTCAGACAGGGTTATCTGCGAGACCTAGTAGATGAGGCCAGAATAAGAGAAGAGCATGCAAGACTGCCCCAGGCACCAGCAGCACCACCTCTGCCATCGCCACCACAGCAAGCAGATGGACCTCGGTTGATTAATGTTATTCACTTAAAGCTTAATGGGAATGAGGTGCATAGGGAGACTCAGAGAGTAAGGCACTTGCATCATGTGTATCAAGTCCAGCAGAAGAAGACTAGGACCGATGAGCACCAGGGACTAATGGTCTCATTTACTGAGGCAGACCTGGATATGGTGCAACATCCACACAATAATGCCTTGGTGATAACGCTGAAGATTGGGGACTGCCAGGTAAGGTGCATACTGGTTTATCAAGCAGTTCTTACGGCATCATGTATGTTAGATGTTACAAGGAGCTTGGTCTTCACCCAGATGATCTGGAACAATTTAACAGCCTGATGGTTGGATTCAACGGAACGCCGACGTGGCCTGTAGGAGCCACGAATTTGGAAGTGCAAGCAGGTATGAAGAAGGTAAGCATAGAGTTTACAGTAATTGACATCCCCTCCCCTTATAATGTTATCTTGGGAAGACACACAATGAGGGCTGTTCCCTTAACATTACACCAGCTGTTGCAGTTCCTAACGGAGCATGGAATTGAGAAGGTCAGAGGGGATCAGATACAGGCAAAAAATTACTCTATGGCAGCAATGAAATCCACCTGTAACGTGCGAGAGACAGAAATAGTAGAAATTAAAGACGAAGACATGGAGGTACTAGATGACGTCAACAAAGAGCTAGCCGACAAGAGTGAGGAAGCCTTAAAGAAGATTCTGGTAAAAGAAGATGATATAGAGTGCTTCTTCTTTCTCAGCTCAAGCTTAGCAGAAGAGGAGGAAAGGGAGTTGAAGGCTTTATTGTGAGCAAACATAGAAGTGTTTACCTGAACGCCATACGAGATGCCTGACATTGACCCCAAGGTCACTTGCCATAGGCTCAATGTAGACAGGTTGGCTAAACCTGTCATTCAACAGGAAAAGAGGCCGACGTTGATTCATGTGAAGACAGTAGAGGAGGAAGTGGACAAGCTATTGGATGCCAAGGCTATTTGGGAGGTAAACTACCAAACCTAGCTATCCAACACAGTAGTTGTGAAAAAGAAGAATGGGAAGTGGAGGGTTTGTGTGGACTTCACCAACCTGAATAAGGCTTGTCCTAAAGACAGCTTCCCTCTACCTAAAATTGATCAACTGGTGGATACTACTTCAGGGCATAGGAGGATGAGCTTCCTAGATGCTTACAAGGGATACCACTAGATAGCAATGTATCCCCCTGATGAGGAAAAGACTACATTTATCATCCTAAAAGGGCTGTACTATTACAGAGTGATGCCTTTCGGGTTGAAAAATGCAGGAACAACCTACCAGAGGTTAGTGACCAAGATTTTCAGACATCTGATTGGCAAAACAGTAGAAGTATACATTGATGACATGGTCGTGAAGACCAAAGAACTGAGAATCATCTGGCCAACTTAAAGACAGTTTTTGATATTCTGAGAACATATCGGCTCCGACTCAATGCTTCAAAATACACATTTGGAGTCGGGTCTGGTAAGTTCCTAGGATACTTGGTTACTAGAAGGGGCATTGAGGTAAGCCTAGATCAAATCATGGCCATTCTTGACTTAAAGAACCTGACATCAGCTAAGCAAGTCCAGATTTTGACCGGCAAGGCGGCAATCTTAAAGATGTTTATCAGTCGAAGTTTTGATAAGTGTAAACCATTTTTTAGTTTGTTAAAGAAGGCCACTGATTTTTTGTGGACGGAAGAGTGCGAATTCGCCTTGGCAAACTTGAAAAAGTACCTGACAACAGCTCCAGTTCTGTCAAATCCAGTACCTGGAGAAGAATTGTTCCTATACTTGGCAGTTTCAGAACACGCAGTAAATGCGGTAGTAATCCGAAAGGAGGAAAGAGAGCAAAAGGCGGTATACTATGTAAGTAAGACCCTGGCAGGTACAGAAACCAGGTACTTGCCCTTGGAGAAACTAACACTAGCCCTGGTGATGGCTTTGAAAAAACTGAATCACTACTTCTAAGCCCACAAGATTGTGGTGCTGACTAAGCATCCTTTGAAGTCCCTGTTGCAGCAAAGAGATCTGACAGGCAAGGTAGCCAAATGGGCAGTAGTACTAGGCCAATATGACTTAGAATTTAGGCCCAAAACAACAATTAAGGATCAGGTTCTGGCCGACTTTACAGCTGAGTTCACCCCTAGTGCTATCCTGCGTTAGACTCTAATGAGCTGTGGCTTGGGATGCCCAGGGAAGCAGGAAGAAACCCAACTAGGGCCCAAGAACCCTACTATAGCAAAACAGAAGAAAGAAAAGAAACCAAGGTCCTGCGGCATCTACATCGGGGACTCTTTTCGCCTGTTTATTGATGAAAGCTCAAACTATCAAGGAGCGGGGGCAAGAGTAGTGTTAATATTGCCAAATGGGTGAATGTTAGAGCAGTCTATTCGTTTGGGGTTCACGGCCTTAAATAATGAAGCAAAGTATGAAGCATTGATTACAGGGTTGAAATTAGCAGCAGTAATGGAAGCCAATGAGGTGGTAATCTTTTGCGACTCCCAACTTATTGTGAATCAGGCAACATGCGAGTATGCAACTCGAGATAAAAGAATGATAGCCTATGTCAAAGAAGTTGTTAGACTGCTAACATTGTTCCAGGATTGTCGGCTACAGCAGGTTAGCCGAGATGATAACAATCATGCCAATGCCTTGGCTAACCTGGCTACTGTAATGAAATCAGAGGAGGTAAGGACAATAATGGCCGATTATTTGTCAGGCCCAAGTGTAGAACCACTGATTACAGAGTACGAAGCAATCTGTGTGGAAATGGTCAAAGCTGGATGGATGCAATAGTAATGTTCCTCAGGGATGGCAAGCAACCAGATGATCGAAAAGAGACGCACAAGACAAGATTAAGGTTGGCCAGGTTTAGCCTAACAGTAGAAGGCCATCTCTACAGAAGGTCCTTTACTGGCCCCCTGTTGAGATGTGTGCATCCCTCCTAGGTTGAAAAATTCTTGTATGAAATTCATGAATGTGTATATGGAAGCCATGCTGGGGGCAGATCACTGGCCTATAGAGCCATATCCCAGGGGTACTGGTGACTATACATGCAGATAGATGTTGAAACTTATGTGAGAAAATGTGAGAAGTGTCAAAGATTTGCACCTTTGATACATCAACCAGCAACAGATCTGAACCCAGTGTCCAGTCCTTGGCCGTTTGTCCAGTGGGGCATGGACTTAGTAGGGCAACTGCCCCAGGCAACTAGATAGAGAAAGTTCTTGTTAATAGCCACAAACTACTTCACAAAGTGGGTAGAGACAGAACCCTTCACCAAGATCAGAGATGTGGATGTAAAGAATTTCATTTGGAAGAATATAATCACCAGGTTTGGGATTCCGAGAGCTATTATGGCAGACAATGGCACCCAATTTGACAGTAAATTGATCAAGATCTTTTGTGCTAAATTCAAAATTAAGAACTACTACCCTACTCTTAGTTTTTCCCAGAGTAATGGTCAAGCAGAAGCATCTAACATGACAATCCTGGATGGGATCAAGAAGAGGTTGGAAGCGACAAACGGAAAATCGGTGGAAAAACTGCCAATGTGCTCTAGGCATACTGGACTACGCCGAGGAGATCAACTGGGAGTCTCTTTTTGCCATGGCTTATGGCACTGAAACAGTTATCCCGCTGGAGGTAGGCATCCTTGGAATCAAAACCCAGGGAGTAGAAAATGGTACCAACAAGGCATTCTTGGCTCGAGATCTGGACTTGCTGGAGGAAAGAAGGGAGAGAGTAGCAATTCAATTGGAGGCATACTAGCAGCAGCTTGCTAAGGCTTACAACAAGAAGGTCAACCTAAAAGAGTTCAAGGTTGGCGACCTCATCTTGAGGAAAGTTGTCGGCAACAAAAAGGATCCTAAGGAGGGCAAACTTGGCCTAAACTAGGAAGGGCCTTACAGAATCATCTCGATTGCCGGCAACGGAGCATATCGGCTAGAATACAGTAAGGGCAAGGAGTTGCCAAGACCCTAGAACACTTGCAATTTAAAGTTTTTCTATCACTAGTTTTTGCTTTTGAGATTTATGTACTTAGCCGAGATTTTAATAACACACTAGCTTGATTTTGTTTTCATATACTGTTGACACTTGTGCGATAGGACTAAAAGAGTCTTATGACAATGTTCCCCTAGTGAACATGACGAATAACTTAGACTTATCATATGGAAGAGCTGAATTATATTTGTCATATGATAGAGTTGAACTAAGTTTGCGATGCTTTCGATTGAAACATGACGAATAACTTAGACTTATCATATGGTAGAGTTGAATTATACTTGACATACGATAGAGTTGAACTAAGTTTGCGATGTTTCCGATTGAAACATGACGAATAACTTAGACTTATCATATGGTAGAATTGAATTATACTTGCCATACGATAGAGTTGATTTAAGTTTGCGATATTTTCGATTGAAACATAACGAATAACTTAGACTTATCATATGGTAGAGTTGAATTATACTTGCCATACGATAAAGTTGAACTAAGCTTGCGATGTTTCCGAATGAAACATGACGAATAACTTAGACTTGTCATATGGTAGAGTTGAATTATACTTATCGTATGATAGAGTTAAACTAAGTTTGCGATGTTTCCGATCGAAACATAACGGGTAACTTAGACTTGCCACTACGGCGTAGTTGAACTAAGTTTGATCTAGTTAGGTTAACAAAGACCGCAAGACTCGGCTAATCTTTGTGTGAATCATACCTCGGCAAGAATTGAAGTTGCTTACTTAATGTGAACATAAGTGGAACTCAAGTTCACATTAGGAGGCAGGAAGCAGGAATAGGCTTAACACTTGTTAAAAAAAATTTCAAGTTAGAATTAGCCGAGGTAAATAGTTAAGAGATTACCCGAGACACTTGTTACCCAGGATAATCAAACAGTTTGGAATGGTTAAAAGAATGAAGTATAGATAACAGACAACAAGTACAAGTGAAGGGAGAACACTTATAAAAATGTTTGATAAAATATTTTTAAGTGTTGTTTTGCCCAGAATGCAGTAAAAGGTGAACTTCGAGGTAAGTTAGTCCGAGGTAACCAACTATTGGCGCACCCAAGATGAAGTGGATCCGAGGTGATACATGTTTGATGTATTCTAACCCGAAGTGGTTACACAGTTAAGATGTACTTTGAGATATGCAAAAATATTCTAAGTGTGGAAACATGCAAGGCAAAGAAGGAAAGTAGTGTAAGCATACATGAAAAGAAGTATTCAAAACTTATTGCAAAAGAGAACTCACATTCAACAAAAGACTACTTGTTCAGATACAAAGGGATGCACATCGGCCAAAATAAAGGCTGATTGTTCGAACTACTAAAGAGTTACAAATGTTCAAAGAAAAAAGTACAAAGTAAAGAAAGAAATCCTAAGTACTAGAAACATCTGGAATTATTTCGGATTGCTTAACCTCGACTGTTGGCTTTGGGTCCGCCACTATCTCGGTGTCTATCTAGAGTAGGGTCTGATCCAAGCTCTTCTTGGCTACCTGGACTTCGGCCTCAGAAGATGTCTTCTTGGGGGAGGAGCTCTTGGGAACCTCGTCTTCCTCGTCCTGAGTCAGGTCCAGGACCTGATCATTCAGAGTAGAGGACTTAGTCCCAGTCGCAGCTTCAGTTTTGTCATCAGCCTCTTCCTTGGCATCCTCTTCCTCGGCATCGTCATCAGATTCCTTGGGAGTCGGAGAGAGAGGCATTTGAAGTTGGTTGATATTTCGAAGAGGTGAGTCCAGTGGGACAGATAGTTGATTAAGCTTTACCATCCAGCTGAGGTAATAA